GGATCCACGTATGTCTCATCGTAAGAGTAAATAACGCAGACACAATAAACTGCTACGATACTTTGACTTGTAGGAGACATAGAAATATTTTTATTTGTGAAATTTTCGGCAACTCCTGTTACCTTCATCAGCGTTTGTGTGTCTATGAGAAACTTAACAGAATATACCAAATTTCCCTATGCCTAACTAGTAGTAAGCCTAGGCCTAGCTGTGCCTACCTTTAGCCACTAGGCCTAGGCTTAAGGATGGCCTAGGTCTGTATTGATTTAAAATGCCCATAAGCAGCTTGTTTGAATAATTAATAATAGGCTCTAAAAGGTATAAGGCCTAGATATATCGTCATTGCCATAAAAACAGTCGGAAGAACAAAACGAATAAACAATACCATAAATGTTGGTCTCTGATTCCCCACAATTAGGGCCAGTGGGATAACCAAAAAGTAAAATAAATTACAGTACTGTCAAAGTGGATCTCCATCCAACATGGGGAATCAGAGAACAACAAAACACAAAGGAAATGTTTAAGGTTTTTGGTTTAATTTTTACATTTACAGTAATCCAGCGTTAGGCCCACTGAATTGTTTAAATAATTAAATCATTGAAAACATAATAGAATTTTACAGTAAAACTTATAAGATTATTTTTTAACACAGAATGAAATGGATAACATTTTGTTTAAAAACAGATTTTACATAGACATAAGATGATTTAGATGCTGAATCATTAATAATGGTATATACCTATTGTATTTCTATAAATTAATCAACAAATATTTCATTAATCAAACTATTGTAAATAAGCCTATTGAAGTATTATTCAAGTATTACTCTTCAAGTACTTAGCAATTATTATTATTATTATTATTATTAATATTATTATTAATGTTATTATTATTATTATAATTTTATAATTATTAATATATTTTAATTGTTTATCAACCATATTATAACATTGAAAATGTGAATCATGTGGATAAAATTATCATAGAAAATAAACCACCAACATTCAATAATACGCAATATACCAGAGGCGATTAATGAACGACTTTCTAATATATCATCAAATGAAGAAGCCGTACCACCATACCAAGAAGCACTCAGAGCAGATATGACCATAAGCTTAAATTTGAACCAACCCGCAAAGGAAACCAAAACAAACAAAATTGACAACGTAAAATCATATGGTTCAGCCCACCATATAGCGATAATGTTTCAACCAACATAGGCCATATAAATTTCTATATCCATCATTGATTCATCATATCCGCCAAACCATCCACTCAGAAAAATATTTAACCAGAACTCTGTTGAATTAAACTCATGGCCTTAACAAAGATCTTGACTTTCTAGCTGACTTCGCCTTTCACCTCTAAACTGTTTATTCTGGCCCATATTCTCCCACCACTGCTATCTCTCTATTTGTCACTGATCTGTAATAGTTTATATTGATTGTTATTTGCCATATACATTTAAGCCTATGCTGTTTAATTAGTCTTTAAGTGCTGTTTTGAGTCATTTCAATTGTAACCCTGAAGAGGGGAGCAGGCGCTCCCGAAAATTTGGTTTTTTAAATAAAATATATGCTTCAAAGAAATTTTCTGCTTTTTTGCACTGCGGCAGTGTCGATAAAAAACAGTAGCTTTTTCGCACTGCAGCAGTGCCAATAGCAAACAGCAGTTTTTTTTTGCACTGCGTCAGTGCCGATAACCTCAACCAAATTTTTTCCTGCTTAGATTGTCGTGGTCCAATAGAGAAAGTATTAAATTTTGGTGACGATCTGAGCAGATCTTGTGTATCCTGTGTAATCTGGATTAGTTTGTGGATATGAGGATCATTCAAATGAAATCCTCCCAGACGACGATCCGGAGTAGTTTGTGGATATGAGGATCATTCAAATGAAATCCTCCCAGACGACGATCCGGAGTAGTTTGTGGATATGAAGATCATTCAAATGAAATCCTCCCAGACGACGATCCGGAGTAGTTTGTGGATATGAAGATCATTCAAATGAAATCCTCCCAGACCAAATATTTCATAAACTGTTCAACTGATCTGAATAAAATGTTTCAGAAAAGTTTAACCAATTTACAAGGAAGAAATGATTAAATGTTAGTGACGATCCGGAGTAGTTTGTGGATATGAGGATCATTCAAATGAAATTCTCCCAGACCAAATATTTCATAAACTGATCAACTGATCTGAATAAAATGTTTCAGAAATGTTTAACCAATTTACAAGGAAGAAAATATTAAATGTTGGTCACAATCCGGATTTGGATGTAGATGTCAGGGTCACTTTAAATGCTAACATGCCAGACCTAAATATCTCAAAAACTGACCAATGGACCAAAATAAAACTTAAACGAATGGCTCATCATGGTCCAGTAATTATAAAATTTTTGAGATAATCCAGAGTATTGTGTGGACACGAGGACTGTTTAATGATAGACATCCTAGACCAGATATCCCAAAAGCTGATCAACTGATGTGAATGAAACTTTTATTAAATCTTAGTGACGATCCTAATTCGGGTTTTAATTTTACAGTCATTTACATTGCTAAGGTCCCAGACCTAAGTTTGTCTAAAAACTTATAGTGGATCTAAATGAAACTTTCCAGAATAGTTTGTCATTGTCAAATAAAGAAATTTTTAAATTATGGTGACAATATGTGGACCATTTAAAGAATTTTATTGAATTTTTTTGATAGTCCTCATGTTTCTAATAGGATTACTCTTCAATTAGGTTTTCTTTCCTATAAAGCTGCTACAGGTAAAGCGCCCGATTGTCTTTGTAATTCTTTTAAAATAATGTGCAAAATTGTAATCAGACTAGGGGATCCACAAATGGCATGATTTTTTTCCTCATCCCCACTTTCAATATTTTAAAAATGGATTTTATTACAAGGCACTTTCTTTCTTAATTCATTATCTTTACTTAATCTTACTGTTTTCAGTCTAAACTTACCATATATCCTTTTTAAATGAAATTAGCAATTTATTGCATTTTAATAGTTTTATCTAGTTATATTTTTTAATTGGTATTCATTTATTTCTAAGTACAATGTGTTGTAAATCAATTCTACTTTTTTAAATTGTTATTCACTGTTTTTTAATTCAATGAATTGCTCTTGCAATTTTGGGGTTTTAACTTTAGAATTAAATTGTTTTTTCTTGCAATTTTAATGATTTTAACATTGGAATATTTTATATTTTCTGAATGTTATTCATTGTAGTTAGGATTTTCTGTCTGTATTTTAAATTGTTTTAAAAGAGGGCCCCTTCAAGTCAGCATTGCTGTTAGAGCTACCCTCTCAAAATATTGTTAAATAAAATAAATAATAATAAATCCTTTACTTAGAATTACAAAAGTAATTTACAAAATCAGTGTAAACTTCATATGAATGTACAGTCATATTGATGTGAGTTTGTGTCAGGTATCCTATAATGTAGAGTTAAATAAAGTAAAAAAGCAATAACAATTGAAAACAGGAGTTTTTCAGAGTTCAATTGAAAAAAAAACTAATATAACATTGTGTAAAGTAAAAGGAACGTTTAAATGTAAGTTTGTTTTAAGGCAACAGAAGAAGAGAATGACAAAATTATGACACTTCTTTCAATAGATATGGAACCTCCAGTTTTATATAATTGTCCAAATGACACAGTTATTGGAACAGATACGGGCCTTGCAACTCGTAGTAAAAGGAAACTTTAAATGTAAGTTTGTTTTAAGGCAACAGAAGAAGAGAATGACAAAATTATGACACTTCTTTCAATAGATATGGAACCTCCAGTTTTATATAATTGTCCAAATGACACAGTTATTGGAACAGATACGGGCCTTGCAACTCGTAATTACAGTTGGACAGCACCAACAGCTGACGATAATGCCGATGATAATCCATGGATATCCTCAAACATCTATTCACCTCACGTGTTTGAAATTGGTGTGCACAACATCACATTTAATGCTACTGATGACTCTGCCAATGTTGCAACTTGTAGCTTTACTGTAGATGTCAGAGGTATGACAAAATTTCACCAATTTCATACTTAACCAATTTATAAAAAGTTTTTTTTTTTATTTCCTTTGCATCCAACAGCAAGTACACTCACCACTTACAGGATGAGAATAATGCTTTATAAGCAAAGTTTCTTTATGAGGCTTAAGTCCTGTTTATACTTCCTAGTGTAAAAACTTCTCTTTTTCTTATATTTTCTATATGAACAATTGCTTTTCAGGTTTTTATCGTTATTGTTATCGTTGCAAGTATAAACAGGCCATTAAGGAGTGGAGTTGCTTTTGGCTGTGAGAAAAAGTCCTGCTGTGACAGGAATTGAACCTAGGACCTTGGGACCAAAATGCAAGAATCCACTGAGCTATTCAACTCCGCTGTTGGTTAAAAATATATTTAATGTTAAGCAATAGAAATATATTGAATGACAATGATATAATTTTATATTCACATCAAAATACTATTGATTGTTCTATATGAAAACAAACCGTAATGTCGCCAGCGTTTCAGTTAGAATTTTCACAAGTCTCTGATTATTGATTTTCCTAGTAATTTTGGAGAGCGCCACCAGCGTTGGTATATATAGAGAAACTTTTTATGCGAATTAGATATAAAAAAAGTATACTATGAAACGCCAGCAAATAAGTAATATGAAACGTCATTGGTGCCAAAATCGATTTTTTTTTTTTTTCAAGCTTTTTGACTGATTAAGACAAAGTTTAGAGACTGGAACCCAGTCTATGTTTTAGTCAGGGCAAATGTAAACATTGCAAGGGGGCTATATTTGACTTTATTACAAAACAGTAATTGTAATTTGATGAAAAAATGTTATATCTGATTCTTTATTAACAATTCTATTAAATTTATTTATCCAGATACGGAGCCTCCATCATTTAATGGTACATGCCCTTCCAGTCCATTAGAGGTACCAACAGATACTAGAGATGACAGGCCGTTTGGTGAAATGTTTGCAACTGTGACGTGGAATATACCAACAGCAATTGACAATGTGAATGTGACGATGATTACTAACAGCAGTTATCCTGGTCTTCAAGTGTATTTCAATTTGAGCTCTTTGTATGATCTGAATGTAACATATATTGCGTTTGATGAAGCTGGAAATAAAGAATTGTGCAACTTTTTAGTGAAAGTCATTGGTAAGAAGGCTTATTACTGGGGACTCCATATCTATCTATAAATGTACAGTAGACCTAGTTCTTAACTTATTGGTAGCCTTATGGTACTGTATTTTTGTTGATTTTATATTGTTAATTATTTATGCAAAAATAAGGCAATGTTTGTTTTTTCTGAGAAAACTGAGTAAATTCATTGTTTGAGGTTTTATATTTATTTTATGAAAGTGTGCTATGTTCTGTCATGTGTTTTGCTTGTGTGGCTTGGTTCTCTACACTGACCATAGAAAATACCAATAAACTACATAAAATGACAAAGGCAGTCAGTAAAGATCAAACCTGTGTCTCAGAAATTCATGAAAAGGCTCTTGTAAAAAAACTGAACAAAATAATTGTAAATGGTACTCATCCATTAAACTGCTGTAATAAAATTAGCAAATCATGTCGGCTGGCCCAGTCAAAATTCAGTCATTTTAACCAAAACTTTAAAAAAGATAGGCCCATTTTTAATGCTTTTTATTAATATTTTTATTTAGAATTTGCAATTTTAAACTTTTTAAAGTTAATAGAATTAAACTCTTGAATTTTGAAAATTTGCCTTGTTTTGTGTTGTTTTGTGACTTCTGTAATTTTTTTGTACGTTTAATGTTATTTTACTGTATTTTTACTAAAATTAATATTCAAAAACGATTTGTTAAATTTGTTTCTCGTACTTGTAATATCCCTTCCAATTATATCATTCTTCCTACTTTAAGTTCTAGACTAAATTACCTTGATTCTCTTTTTTTTTATAATTGCGTTCATAGAGTTTATGGTTCTGATCTTATTTCCGTTTTCTTTATTGTTCTCTTTGTTTTATGTTATTCCATTCTGTAAGTGGCGGGCTCCCCGTTGTTGATTGTGAAATGAAATAAAATAAAATAAAATAAATTAAAATAGAAAGTACAAAGTTTTTTAGTATTTTAATGATTTTATGTGTTTTATCATTGTTTTACAACTTAGGAAGGTAAATTTCATATGTATTTTGAATGTATTTATTAATCATGGTATATTTATTCAACACAAAAAGGAAAAAGAAATTTGACATAAAGTGAATTGTAGCCTTGCCTAAATTGCTCACTACTGGTATTTACAATCAAATACTGTATAACAATTAGTATTAAAAAAAGGATATTTAAAATTCAATAATAAACATTTAAAACATTGTACTGTAGTTGTCATTAAATTATTGCACATGTTATGATAAATATTATTATTTCAGTTGTAACTACGACATAATTCTTTTTTTGACATAGCAAAATTGATACTATTGTTATAAAAAAAAATTACTGCAATAAACACTCAACATAAAATATGAAGAAAATAGTACTGTACAAATTGTACAAAACATTAAATTATTAAGGAATACGAAATATCAAAAATGGAAATCATCATTCTTTATTCAGGAGTAAATATTGTAATTACAATTATATATTTCCTAGACAGTTCCCTCTTCGGGTAGCCAAAACTGTTGAAATTCTGGGAGTTTGTACAGTTGTTTGGCAAATCTTGTTCATATCATTCGTTTTGTCCAATCCACGCCCTCACAATCAGCTCAGCGAGTGTTTTAATACATGCATCAGATTCCGTGTACACCATGGTGCCGTAATCAGCCCCCTGATTTTCGTTCATTTAAGGCTATCGCCAGAGACTTTCGTTCCGACTGCCCTTGGGAAGTTTTATATGCTGATGATCTTGTGCTCGCAGATACCTCATTAGATGGTCTGACTTATAAAGTATCACTTTGGAAGTCACACTTCAAATCGTACGGGCTCCAAGTCAACATGAAAAAAAAAAAAATCATGCGCTGCTCAAATGATACACCCGTACCTGTTAAATGGTCATGCAGTGTCCGCAGCATTCCTACCTATGCCAGCGAAACCTGGCTTAAGATGACTTAAAACTCCTATGCCGAGCCAATCATGCAATGATTCACTGGAACTGCGCAACCAGAATCTGTGACAGAACTCTGACAAAACACTTCTCTACCAGTTAAATATTCACTCCATTGCAGATACACTATGCCACAGTCACCTTTGCTGGTACGGCCATTTCCAGCGCAGTGAGGTTGACAAATGGCCAAGGCACATCATAGAATTTGATGTTGACGGACCTCAACCAATTCATGGCAGGATGTTGTGAGAGGGGACCTTAGAAGGTTAAACCTCCTGGTCTCACAAGATTTTTTTTTTTTTTAAATTTATTTCTTTCATGCATAATACATTCATAACATTAAGCAGAAAAAATAACAATAAAAAAGCCACAAGATACATCAATTTTTATCTTTTGTTTAGCAACATTTTAAAACACTGCTAGTGGCAAACAGTTGGGCCGATTTCAATTAAACTTAGTTTTAAGTTTGTTAAACCTTATTTTTTGTACTTTATTTATTTGTTTATGGTGGTGTTATTATACGATTAGGCTTTGTCAATGTGCATATTTGTTTTTTAGTTTAGTTTAATAAGTTTTATACAATTGTATTTATGGACCTCACAGCCTTTTGTAAGAACACCCACAGGGTGAAAGAGATTATTATTAATATTATTATTATTATTATTATTATTATTATTATTATTATAATTATTATTATTATTATTAATAATATATTATTACTGTACAACTGTTACTTATTTTTAATATGGTAATTATTATTAATATTATTATCATTATTATTATTATGCAATATATAACTAATTTTGGTGTTAGCTGTTATGCTAATGATGACAACCACTTAATCAGTTTTACTTTAATACAGCATGATAACATTACTAGTGATATGTTATACCAAGTTTTGTTATAATAAAGTTAGTACAATGTTTTCGAACAACATTGATCTGTTTAATGGTTACTGTATATATTTGTTTTAATTTATTATTAGACAACTGTAATAATAAAAAAGGTAGAAAGTAATGTATTTTGATTTGAAATATAAAATGTTTGCAATAAAAATAAAGTGTTTATAATTATTATTTGTTTTTTTATATATTTGTTATTTATATATATATTTACTTTCAGATGTTGAAAATCCCTTCTACTATAACTGTGATAACACAAGTGGTGCAGCTGATGTTACCCTTTACACATCTGTAGGTGTTGATTATGCACCATATTCTTGGTCACCACCCATATCAGGTGACAACATTGAAATTGATGCAGCTAGGTCATCAACAAATATGTCACCAGGTCAAGACTTCAGTATAGGTGTCACTGATGTTGTTGATTTAATATATGATACATCTGGCAACAAAGCTAGTTGTAATTTTACAGTTACTGTTATAGGTAAGTTAAACAATTGGATATTAACAAGGTGTACAGTACTAACCCAATGCTGACTATTTTTAGCTAGCCATGCTGAGATATTACTTGGAATGTTGATTTATGTGCGAATGTTTAATAGTTCAAAAATATATATAATAAATATCATGGGTACTTCTAATTATCAGTGACAGTAATATGAGGCCTACTGTACCAAAAATAAAAAATGAATTTTTCCACCAGAGGCCCTATGTGAGCCTTTGTTGGCATGATTTTTTTCCTCATCCCCACTTTCAATATTTTAAAAATGGATTTTATTACAAGGCACTTTCTTTCTTAATTCATTATCTTTACTTAATCTTACTGTTTTCAGTCTAAACTTACCATATATCCTTTTTAAATGAAATTAGCAATTTATTGCATTTTAATAGTTTTATCTAGTTATATTTTTTAATTGGTATTCGTTTATTTCTAAGTTCAATGTGTTGTAAATCAATTTTACTTTTTTTAATTGTTAGTCACTGTTTTTTAATTCAATGAATTGCTCTTGCAATTTTGGGGTTTTAACTTTAGAATTAAATTGTTTTTTCTTGCAATTTTAATGATTTTAACATTGGAATATTTTATATTTTCTGAATGTTATTCATTGTAGTTAGGATTTTCTGTCTGTATTTTAAATTGTTTTAAAAGAGGGCCCCTTCAAGTCAGCATTGCTGTTAGAGCTACCCTCTCAAAATATTTTAAAATAAAATAAATACTAAATCCTTTACTTAGAATTACAAAAGTAATTTACAAAATCAGTGTAAACTTCATATGAATGTACAGTCATATCGATGTGAGTTTGTGTCAGGTATCCTATAATGTAGAGTTAAATAAAGTAAAAAAGTAATATCAATTGATAACAGGAGTTTTTCAGAGTTTAATTGAAAAAATAAACTAATATAACATTGTGTAAAGTAAAAGAAAACTTTAAATGTAAGTTTGTTTTAAGGTAACAGAAGAAGATAATGACAAAAATTATGACACTTCTTTCAATAGATATGGAACCTCCAGTTTTATATAATTGTCCAAATGACACAGTTATTGGAACAGATACGGGCCTTGCAACTCGTAATTACAGTTGGACAGCACCAACAGCTGACGATAATGCCGATGATAATCCATGGATATCCTCAAACATCTATTCACCTCACGTGTTTGAAATTGGTGTGCACAACATCACATTTAATGCTACTGATGACTCTGGCAATGTTGCAACTTGTAGCTTTACTGTAGATGTCAGAGGTATGACAAAATTTCACCAATTTCATACTTAACCAATTTATAAAAAGTTTTTTTTTTATTTCCTTTGCATCCAACAGCAAGTACACTCACCACTTACAGGATGAGAATGATGCTTTATAAACTAAGTGTCTTTATGAGGCTTAAGGCCTGTTTATACTTCCTAGTGTAACAACTTCTCTTTTTCTTATATTTTCTATATGAACAATTGCTTTTTAGGTTTTTATCGTTATTGTTATCGTTGCAAGTATAAACAGGCCATTAAGGAGTGGAGTTGCTTTTAATTGTGAGAAAAAGCCCTGAGACCTTGGGACCAAAATGCAAGAATCCACTGAGCTATTCAACTCCGCTGTTTGTTAAAATTATATTTGATGTTAAGCAATAGAAGTATATTGAATGACATATTCACATCAAAATACTATTGATTGTTCCATATGAAAACAAACTGTAATGTGTGTTTCCGACCAACACTACTGAACTATCAACAAGTTGAACTCTGCAATTAGGCTTTAGCTGGATGTAATACAAGATTCTAAATTCTGTGTGATTATATTATGTGATAATATTGAGTTGAATAACTTGTTGATTAAGATGCTTGCCTTCCCATCTCAGGGTCCTGCGTTCAATTCCTGTCATGTGGTATCAAGATTTCTTCATGACTGAAACTCCGCTGCCCCAACCTAATCAATTACGTGGAGGGTCTTATGTGTATGCTAAAAGTGATATGAAAGTGGTCATGTAGTCAATGTAGTATAGACCCCTTGCAATGTTTACATTGGCCCTAACTGAAACGCTGGCGGCATACTACTTGGTAGGCAAAAGAAATACACAAAGATAGGCCAATTCCATGTAAAATCAGAAAGCTGGTTATATTTCTTTTTGTTGTGCCGAAAATACAAAACCTAAAGGGATAAAACTTACATACAGTATGGTATAGTTAAATATATTAGGAATCTACAAAAAAATAAAATCTAAGAAAATTATGTTTTTTTCATGTATACTAAATTTTTAAAGTCATATTCGTATTACAGCAACATTTGGTGAACATTATAGTTGCCTAAAAGTAATATTAAGACAGTCGAATGGATTGCATATTATCATGAAAAATGTGGTTTTTTTTGTTCTAACTCATAGGCCGAATTTCTGTACTTTTTGCTGTTAGTGTTCATCGAGCCACAGGCAAACTGCAGTAGCGTTGCGTAGAAAGCTTTCACGTTCTTGGCTTGGGAGCGCCCGCACATAGGAAGATCCAAAGAGATAAGAATTTACTTGAAGAGTAATTATTCCATTTATTCAAAAAAATGCAAAATGTTCGTCAAGGTTCTCGTAGCCTCAATGAGTGGAAAACAGAAAATTCATAGGCCTATTCGAGGCCCTTCATACCGGCGGAGGCAATGTCACCAGCGTTTCAGTTAGAATTGCCACAAGTCTCTGATTATTGATTTTCCTAGTAATTTTGGAGAGCGCCACCAGCGTTGGTATATATAGAGAAACTTTTTATGCGAATTAGATAAAAAAAATTATACTATGAAATGCCAGCAAATAAGTAATATGAAACGTCATTGGTGCCAAAATCGATTTTTTTTTCAAGCTTTTTGACTGATCAAGACAAAGTTTAGAGACTGGAACCCAGTCTGTTTTAGTCAGGGCAAATGTGAACATTACAAGGGGTCTATATTTGACTTTATTACAAAACAGGAATTGTAATGTGATGAAAAAATGTTATATCTGATTCTTTATTAACAATTCTATTAAATTTATTTATCCAGATATGGAGCCTCCATCATTTAATGGTACATGCCCTTCCAGTCCATTAGAGATACCAACAGATACTAGAGATGACAGACCGTTTGGTGAAATGTTTGCAACTGTGACATGGAATATACCAACAGCAATTGACAATGTGAATGTGACGATGATTACTAACAGCAGTTATCCTGGTCTTCAAGTGTATTTCAATTTGAGCTCTTTGTATGATCTGAATGTAACATATATTGCGTTTGATGAAGCTGGAAATAAAGAATTGTGCAACTTTTTAGTGAAAGTCATTGGTAAGAAGGCTTATTACTGGGGACTCCATATCTATCTACAAATAAATGTACAGTAGACCTAGTTCTTAACTTATTGGTAGCCTTATGGTACTGTATTTTTGTTAATTATATTGTTAATTATTTATGCAAAAGGAAGGCAACGTTTGTTTTTTCTGAGAAAACTGAGTAAATTCATTGTTTGAGGTTTTATCTTTATTTTATGAAAGTGTGATATGTTCTGTCATGTGTTTTGCTTGTGTGGCTTGGTTCTCTACACTGACCATAGAAAATACCAATAAACTACATAAAATGACATAGGCAGTCAGTAAAGATCAAACCTGTGTCTCAGAAATTCATGAAAAGGCTCTTGTAAAAAAACTGAACAAAATAATTGTAAATGGTACTCATCCATTAAACTGCTGTAATAAAATTAACAAATCATGTCGGCTTGCCTGGTCAAAATTCAGTCATTTTAACCAAAACTTTAAACAAGATAGGCCCATTTTTAATGCTTTTTATTAATATTTTTATTTAGAATTTGCAATTTTAAACTTTTTAAAGTTAATAGTTTTAAACTCTTGAATTTTGAAAATTTGCCTTGTTTTGTGTTGTTTTGTGACTTCTGTAATTTTTTTGTATTTTGTTTTTTACTGTATTTTTATAGTCATAGAAAGTGCAAAGTTTTTTAGTATTTTAATGATTTTATGTGTTTTATCATTGTTTTACAACTTAAGAAGGTAAATTTCATATGTATTTTGAATGTATTTATTAATCATGGTATATTTATTCAACACAAAAAGGAAAAAGAAATTTGACATAAAATGAATTGTAGCCTTGCGTAAATTGCTCACTACTGGTATTTACAATCAAATACTGTATAACAATTAGTATTAAGGATATTTAAAATTCACTAATAAACATTTAAAACATTGTACTGTATTTGTCATTAAATTATTGAACATGTTATGATTAATATTATTATTTCAATTGTAACTACGACATAATTCTTTTTTTGACATAGCAAAATCGATACTATTGTTATTAAAAAAATTACTGCAATAAACACTCAACATAAGATATGAAGAAAATAGTACTGTACAAATTGTACAAAACATTAAATTATTAAGGAATACGAAATTTTTTTTTTTTTTTTTTTTTTTTTTTTTTTTTTTTTTATTGGTGGCGCTTGGTAGCAGTCACACACATTGTTTTGTCTGTCAATGTTAAGACTGTTTTAACCGTTTTTGTGACGTTAATTGGTTTTGTGACCGTATTTTTTATTATTAAGATTCATTTGATAGAGTCTGTTTAAAGAAAATTTGTAGCAATCGTAACATTTTTGGATTAAAGCCATTGTGAAGGATATGGAATTACCTAGGACTGGTACGGCAGCCGCAATGCTAAACCTGTACCGGTGTGCAACGCTCGTAATTAACAGGTGGTACCTGGCAGAATTTGTGAAGTTATTGTTTCCTCCAACGATACAACGACTAGCAGTGGCGAAGTCTTACCATAGGCCAGCGCAGTATGTATATGATAGGAGAACACTGAGACTACTAGCACCAAGAAATATTAAACTTTCGTCGAGTATTAAGTACAAACTAAAGGAACTTGGATTACTTAAAACAGCATTTTGTAGGGGCAGGCGGGCAGGCAGAAAGGTAAAGCGTTCAATAGAAGTAGCAGTTGGAAACAGACAAGCAGTTCCATTTCGCCCTGTTCGGCCACCATCTGTTCTCGTTCAAGTCTTTCCGACATGCTTTCCAACCCTGTGTAAGGCCAAGTCCCTTCCCGGACTGTTTCTTACAAACGCTCGATCGTTATTGAACAAATCTGATGAGCTTGAAATACTGCTACATCAATCTGATATCAATGTAACCGATATCGCAGTTATTACCGAGACCTGGCAACCTCAGATGGTTAATAATGATTACTTGGCAGTTGATGGCTTTAATATCTTTACCACAACCAGAGTTGACAAACGAGGAGGTGGTGTGGCCGTCTATGTAAAGGATAATTTGCCAGTAAGTACTTTATCAGACATTAGCGTTCCCGAAGAATTAGAATGCATATGGCTTCGAGTACGTCCCTATCGCCTTCCAAGAACTGTGTCTGCAATTGTTATTTGTGCTGTATATATACCTCCCAACTCGGAACTTAAAGAGGTATTAATTGAACATATGATAACAACTTTAGACATTTTAAAATCACGTGGTCCTGATATTGGTATTGTGATTCTAGGAGATTTTAATCGATTAAATATTAATCCATTGTGCAGAGCTCACTCATTGAAACAGGTAGTAGATAAGCCAACAAGAGGTGATGCTATATTGGATTTAATAATAACTAATTTGAAACATTATTATGACAGTCCTATAGTTAGCTGTCCAATTGGGAAAAGCAATCATAACACTGTTTACCTTCCACCAGCTGAATATAGCCAAAAAAGTAAACAGACTAAGCGATTAATTCGACCTTTACGTAAACATTGTATCTATGAGTTCGGAAGGTGGATAACCAACCACTCTTGGCATAAAGTTATTGAGGCATCTTCTACCTGCGATAAAGCTGATGCATTCTATAAACTTATTAATAAGGCTATAGATGTCCACTTCCCTACCAAAACTATTAAACTTCACTCTCAGGACAAACCCTGGATCTTCCCTGAGATTAAATCGTTAATTAGAAAACGGCAGATAGCATTTGCGGAAAAAAAAATGTTTCTTTGGCGGTTTCTTCGTAATAAGGTCATACGTGCTATTGTTCAGGCAAAAAAATTTTATTATAAGGATCGTATTCAAAACCTTAAGTCAAGTGATCCACATGGTTGGCACAAAGGGATCCAGATAATTACAAATAAATGTCAACAACTATCACGGTGCCAGGACTCAAAACTAATAATGATAAAGATATAGCAGAGGCGATAAATGACAGCTTTGCCTCTGTATCTCAAAGTAGACCTCAACTTAATGTAGCAGACTTGCCAAGCTTTCTGCCTGCAAACCTCCCACCAAAGATAGAAGTATGGGAGGTGTATCATCAATTAACCAAATTAAACACTAAAAAAGCAACAGGGCCTGATGCACTACCTGCAAAACTACTTAAAGAATTTGCATGCGAGTTCAGCATCCCAGTATGCAATATATTTAATTCGTCCTTAAAAGAAGGAGTTGTTCCGCATATGTGGAAGGATGCCACAATATCCCCTATTCCTAAAACTACCCCGGCTGTAGTCTCTAATCTCCGGCCAATTTCCTTAACTTCCATTTTAGCAAAAGTTTGTGAAGGGTTTGTCTCTAAATGGGTTATGGATGACTTATCCAAGTCAATTGACCGTAACCAATATGGTGGGTTAAAGGAATCATCCACTTCCCATTGTTTAATTGAGATGCTTAATCTTTTCTTTAAAGGTTGCGACAAGAGTAAGACTGTTGGAACTCTCGTTGTGACGGACTTCTCCAAGGCTTTTGACTGCATCGACCATACTTTGGCTATTCAGAGACTCTTTGAGCTTGGTGTCAGAAGCGAGTTATTACCATGGATAACACACTTTCTTACAGCCCATCGTCAACGAGTACAGTACCATTTTTCCTTGTCGCAATGGAAAACACTCTCCTGTGGTGTTCCGCAAGGCACAAAACTCGGCCCCATCATATTTATGGCTGTAATTAACAACGCCGCCAAAGAGTCTCTGAATAAAAGCTTCAAGTATGTCGATGACCTCAGCCTTGTAGAGGTCCGTCCTGTAAATCAGCCTAGCCAGATTGGAGTGGGCGTTCGTAACCTGGACATGTGGGCAAACGAGAACCACCTTACGCTCAATCCGAGCAAGTGTAAACTCATGCAGATTTGCTTCATGAGAGAACCCCCTACGCATCCAAAAGAGAGCATGCCGGATTATTATTGGTGCGGATTATGTATCATATACGGAAACACTTCAGCAATTGGGACTCCAAACGATGGCCGATAGACGACTCCATCTTTGTGTTCAATTTGGACTGAAATGTTTAAAATCTCAGAGATACGCAAATTGGTTCCCAATAAATAGAAGTAACCATAATATGACCCTACGAAACTGTAATACATATCAAATCCAAAAATATAAAACTAATAGATATGGGAACAGTGCAATTCCTTTTCTCATCCACTGCCTTAACGAGAGATGCTGAGAATTAGATTGCTAGAAAATACGCGTTAAATTGATATTGCCTAAATAACATTGGCAAATGTTTTATTTTTATTGAGGCTGGTCCATATTTTATATTTATAAACATGATGCCTATTTTATATACTTTGTATTTGAATATGTCTTAATTTTAAATAATTATTTTACTAACCTGTATATATAATCAGTATCTATATTGTCTAGTTGTGTTAAAGTAACGTTTGTAATTAACTGTCTTGAAATAATTTTTTATATTGTAAATTTTACATTTTGTTACACCATGTAATTCAGCTTATATGCTGCGAATTGGTTAGTTGAAATAAAAGATAAAGATAAAGATAAAGATTTCAAAAATGGAAATCATCATTCATTATTCAGGAGTAAAAATTGTAATTACAAGTATATATTTCCTAGACAGTTCCCTCTTCAGGTAGCCAAAACTGTTGAAATTCTGGGAGTTTGTACAGTTGTTTGGCAAATCTTGTTCATATCATTCGTTTTGTCCAATCGATGCTTGCTGATGCTCGCCCTCACAATCAGCTCAGCGAGTTTTTTAATACATGTATCAGATTCAGTGTACACCATGGTGCCGTACTCAGCTCCCTGATTTTCGTTATTACATTTAAGGCCATCTCCAGAGACTTTTGTTCCGGCTGCCCTTGGGAAGTTTTATATGCTGATGATCTTGTGCTCGCAGATACCTCACTGGATGGTGTGACTTATAAAGTATCACTTTGGAAGTCACACTTCAAATCGTACGGGCTCAAAGTCAACATGAACAAAAAAAAAAATCATGCGCTGCTCAAATGATACACCCGTACCTGTTAAATGGTCATGCAGTGTCCGCAGCAGTCCTACCTATGCCAGCGAAACCTGGCTTAAGATGACTTAAAACTCCTATGCCGAGCCAATCATGCAATGATTCACTGGATCTGCGCAACCAGAATCTGTGACAGAACTCTGACAAAACACTTCTCTACCAGTTAAATATTCACTCCATTGCAGATACACTATGCCACAGTCACCTTTGCTGGTACGGCCATCTCCAGCGCAGTGAGGTTGACAAATGGCCAAGGCACATCATAGAATTTGATGTTGACGGACCTCGACCAATTCATGGCAGGATGTTGTGAGAGGGGACCTTAGAAGGTTAAACCTCCTGGTCTCACAAGATTTTTTTATTTTTTTATTTATTTCTTTCATGCATAATACATTCATAACATTAAGCAGAAAAAATAACAATAAAAAAGCCACAAGATACATCAATTTTTATCTTTTGTTTAGCAACATTTTAAAACACTGCTAGTGG